TTGTCAGAGAGCACAGATTTTCAGAATGAGCATTAGAGTTGGCTCCAGTATATGATAGTAAGGTTTATAAGCAAATGGTTGGAAATAAGGCATGAAGGGAGAGTTTCTGGAAGTCTAGTCTGGCATGGCCCTGTTGGTCCCTCACCTTCCCAGCCTGTCTGAGCTGTCAGGCTCCACACTTACCTTCAGTAATTATCTTCTAGAAATCCTTCTTCTAATCCTGCCCCTTGTATTGACAGTCTCTGGTGGCTCCTAGCTGCTGGATGAGTAAAAAGAAATGAAATCAAATGATGAAAAGTACTGGTCATGGCCTTTAAGGCTTCAGGCCAGTCTCTGCATTTATCCACCCATATCTCATATTTCCTGGTTGCCACTATTTAGCTGTGTATATCTCTGTGTGTGTGTCTGTTTTTCTGTGTGTGTGTCTGTTTTTCTGTCTGTCTGTCTATCTTCTTAATAAATTTAAGGCTCTGATCTGTCCCTATCTCCTCAAGGAGGACCTACCCATTTCTGCTAGCCAAATCGACCCCTTCTTAAACCTTGTTTAAGATTCACCTCCACTATGAAATCTTTCTGGACTTTAACCAACCAAATTAAATTTGTGTGAACTTTAGTTTCCTCATCTGCAAATGGCACAAGCATTCCTCACCTCAGAGAGTTGATGTGAGGGTTAAATGAGAACCTGCATAAAGCATGGTTTCTTGCCCAGAGTCAGAAGACCATGGCTCCCTCCAGCCAACATCCATCACTGGGAGCTAGGAATTTCCCTGCTGCCCTGTCTCACTGGGCCATGGCACTCTTGACGGGGGGTGGTAGGGGGCATGCATACGTATGTGCCTGCATTGGGCCCCTTAAATTAAGTTTGTTGGTGCTGTTGAGTTGATTCTGATTCCTAGCGACCCTGGGTACAGCAGAACAGAACCCTCCCCGGTATTTTTGCACCATCCTCTCAGCTTCCAGTGCTGTATCAAACAATGCTCCTCTGCTATTCATGGGGTTTTCATGGCTAGTTTTGTCAGAAGTGGGTGGCCAGGTCCTTCTTCCTAGTCTGTCTTAGTCTGGAAGCTCTGCTGAAACCTGTCCACCATGGGTGACCCTGCTGGTATTTGAAATATCAGTGGCATAGCTTTCAGCATCACAGCAACACGCAGCCACCACAGTATGACAACTGACAGAAAGGTGGTGTGGTTCCCTGACTGAGAAACGAGCCCAGGCCGTGGCGGTGAGAGCGCCAAATCAGAATCTTAACCATTAGACCACCAGGGCTGGCTCTTAAATGAAATACAGGGCTAAATGTGGAACAGAATTGTACAAATGTGGAATGTAAGAGAAGTAAGGAAAATATACAGCTGAAGATCAGAAATGAGAGCAACGCAGCTGCTGGCAGGGAGTGTGAGGAAAGTTTTCGTTGAAAAGGTGACATTTGCTGAAAAGCAGAGATTATTATGAGAGTTCCTTGAAGGTAATGACTTGGTGGTCTGTGTACATCAGGGTCTGGTTCAGTGCCAGGAGCAGGGTTGGTACTTAATAAATATTTGTCAGATGAATGTGATGTGACCTCTAAAATACATTTATTACTTGTCATTCAACTTCTGTAACTGATATGAAGGTAAAATTATTTAAATGAGAACCCTCTACTTGACACTCAAGGAATATAAATGAATTTTAAAGTGGTGTTGAAAAATAGCAAAGACTATCGAGTGCAAGCTGCTGTAACACCACTATGAAACTAATCGCCAGTGGTGGAACTGTGTCAAGGTGACATGGCATCTGGATGTAGAAGAGGTCATCTAGATGTTTTACCTGTAAAAATAGGGGAGCAAAAAGAAACAGTGCTGACCCGAGCATATATATGTCAGTTGGCCTGGTGCTGTTTGCTCGGTACCATTGGGGAACATTTGGACATTTCATTTATTATGGGAGATCATTTTTATCACAAGTAAAAATATTCATTATTTAAATTTTATTGAAACTCCCCATATAATCTGCAACCTTTTAAGGGAAAGAAATCAATCCATAAAGCATACATAAATTACTCTGTAAATGTTTCAATATCTTTGTTTCTCCTTCCCCCCTCTGCCTGTTTATACTGTAAATATTAATAAATGCAGCATTTTAATGAGCTTTGACGGAATTATCTTCAGAGAGTTGGTGCAGTGTGTTCCTTGGAGACACACAACTGAAGTTCCCAGTTTCTGGAAGGAAGTCTGTTGCTCATTAGCTGGGACAGCTAAGAGTGTGCTGGCTCAAGAGAGAGGGGGCCACGGCTCGAGCCCACCTGTGTCTGCGCAGGCCCGCCGCATCTCTGCCCTGCTGTGGAGTAACCCCAGGGCTTTCATTAAGAGTGTCTGACGACTTCCCCGGAGCGAGTGCTGATGGGCTGTCATGTTGCTTTCTCTGGAGGAGCGGTGCTGGCACCTCCTAACAGTCTGACAACCGGTTAGGTAGCTGTTTCCGTGTGAGTCGAGGAATCGAGCGTCGTCTACCTGAGCATTAAGCCAAGAGCACATGTTCTCTCTCATGGTCACGGGTTTTGAAGAGGCAATGTATTCCTCCCCATCCAGCCCCTACCCCGTCCCCGGCAAAATGCGTTCCCAGAGTAAACCTGTCTTTAATAAGCAAGACTTTTGGCGGATGCAGAGGGGGTTTTGTGTTGGTTTGATTTTGGCTGCCCAGCATCTGGAACCCTTTCTAGGTTGGGAGGTTTCACATTGTATGTTTTGGAGAAGGGGTCACAGCCCACTGTCATTCATGGAAGCTGAAAAGCCAGTACAGACAGTCGCGGACTTACAATGGTTTGACTTTTGACTTTTCAACTTTACAATGGAGTGAAAGTGATACACATTCAGTAGACACCGTACTTCGAATTTCGAATTTTGATCTTTTCCCAGGCTAGCGATATGTGGTATGATCCTTTCTCGTGATGCTGGGCAGTGGCAGCGAGCCGCAGCTCCCAGTCAGCCACGCAATCATAAGGCTAAACAACCGATACACCTACAACCATTCTGTACCAGACAACCATTCTGTTTTTCACTATCAGTACAGTGTTCAATAAATTACATGAGATGTTCAACACATGTTGTAAAATAGGCTTTGTGTTATATGGCTTTGCCCAACTGTAGGCTAATGTAAGTGTTCTGAGCATGTTTACGGTAGGTGAGGCTAAGCTATGCTGTTCAGTAGGTTAAGTATGTTAAACGCGTTGTTGACTTAGATATTTTCAACTTATGATGGCTTTATCAGGCTATAACCCCGTTGTAAGTTGAGGAAGAGCTGTTCTCCCTTTCTGAGCCCTGGCATTAGGGCATGAGTGCTTGGCTAGGCAGGAGCAATCAGGTGCTTCTGCTGAGGCCTTTACATCGACATCAAGTGAAGCAACGAAGCAGGAGTGGAGAATTCACAGTAGAGGCAGCCACACTCAGGGTCCAGGGACGGGAGTGCCTGGGGGCCAGTTTTCCTGGGAAGCAGAGGGCACACCAGGCTTTCCTGGGGTGAGATATTCACTGAGATTCTTGTGCCTAACTATTCCTAACATGCTTTGGTTTCTAGTGATTTTCAAGCCTGATTTTCCAATCTTTGCAATGATTCTGAGAGCTGTTTGATATTATTTTTAAAAATTCCTTTTCTACTAAATTTAGGCAAGGACCATTTCCACTGTTTATAACTGACAACCCAACTCATTCATTTATGTCCATGGCTTGATCATTGTCTCTAGGCCACTGAGATAATAGCATTTACTTAAAAGCTTTGGCCAGGCACCCAAGTGTCCAGGCCACTAGTCAGTTGAATGGAATCTCCTGTTTAATACTGAAACATGCATCTGCTCTTCTTCTCTTCTTTCCTTGAAATATAATCCTGATGCAGGCTCCTGTATGTGTCAGCCTCTCTATTGATGTGCAGTACCTCAGAACTCCTGGTTATTAAGTGAATTAGATGTAAGTTCAGTGACCTGAATGGTAGGCCAGTAGGTCAAGAGGCGTGAGCACTCGTTGCATTAGGCCCTGGCCTGGGATTCCTTGGCCATTTGTTGGAGGAGCATCTGTCCTTATGCCCCCAATTAATTTAGTGTGTGCTGCTTTGTAAAGTGCCAATGTGCTGCAGAGGCAGGCGATGTGTTCATGTCGTATGGACATTATAGAACCATTTATTCTTTCCCTGACAGTTCCAATTCTAGATCCCTCTGCCAAACCCAACAATAGGGGAGAGAATTTTTGCATAGTGGTGTCTGTCCAGCTTTAGATTTTTGATTTTTTAACCTTTTTTTTTTCCATTTTTCTTTTGGAAGATGTGTGAGGTAGGGTGGAAAAGGAAGAGGTGAGATGGGAGAAGTTAAGAGTTAAGCTTCATTTTTTCTTTCTTTTCAGATAAAAACTTTGAACTTACTTTATAGAATTATACTTTTGCATGTTTATGAGCACCAAAAATGTAGCATATATGTTCTCATAAAGTGCTATATATATATAGGATCATACGCGTTAGTGGCCACTCACCCCAGAGCAGTGTTTTAACTCCGAAATAGCCATATTGACACTGGTCTCGCTTCTCTCACAGCCGTGTAGAGCCTGTAAGTTACCATCGGCTTCCAGTTACAGGAGCATGATTATCTATATTGACTCAAAGAGAGTTTAGGAAGGAAACAGACAAGCTTCTGTTTTAAAACAAAACCCAGAAGTGGACTCTCTCACATGCCAAATTGACACCTGCTCCTATGAAACCTGGTGGTCATTGGCTCTCAAAGCTGCATCTGGTATGGTCCCAATCTGTTAAGTGTGCTGAAATTTCAGCACTCGTAGGCCCTGTCCATCTCCCACATTCCCACATAGCACTTCCACAGGGCTTGCTGGAAGGAGAGGTTCACCTTAGCCCTTTCAGCAAGCACAATTTTATTGTTATAGAAGTGCCTGGCTTTTGTTTACTTTGCCTCTGTTGCTTTAGAGATACTTTTGTCTCTGACCAGGGAGATTCATTTGTCTCTGACCAATGTCTGTGTTCTCTTCCAGGAAAGAGTGATCCTTTTTGCTTGTTGGAGTTAGGCAATGACCGGCTTCAGACTCATACCATTTACAAAAACCTCAACCCCGAGTGGAACAAAGTTTTTACATTGTAAGTGCTTTAGCTTCTGGAATACCAAGGAGTGGCTTTAACTTAGAGACCAATTATCTCTGATATGTTTGGGGCAGGCTGTGGCCCTTGAGTGGAACTTTCTGTCCATTTTTATGTGCAAAGAGTGAATTTTATTGTTTTTTCCTTCTGAAAGCCTTTTATCCTTTCATTTTATAGAGTATGGTGTTAATAGTAGAAGAGACCATTCAGAACTGCAAGGGAGTGTTATAGGAGGCATTTGTAAAGTAAATCTTTTAGTGACTAAATTAATCTGTGAGTAGGTAGAAGTTTCCGTATATCCAGACTAGTTCATTCCTGGGTTAAAGAAAATTACAAATGGAGACCTGTCTTAAATTCAAGGAGCTGTATGTTACAAGATTATTTTAATGTCTGAAGGCGTGTATTCTGCCAGAGTCTTTTGGAAAATACAGATTATCTGTGATTTCTCAAAGACTACCAAAGGCTTTTTGTATTTGAGCCTATCTGAATGACCTCCCCACAGCGATGCCCTGCCCGCTCTTTCTAATTCAGGCATTTAGGAATCTGGATATATTTTCTAGTTTGTTTTAAATTCCGAAGCACCTGACCCTCAAGAGGAGGCATCTGTTGAATTTGGGTGAAATGGTGGCACATTGCCCTCACAATGCTGAAGAAATGCTCTGTCTGTGCTCATAACTGAAAGAATAAAGTTTGTTTTGAATGGAGTTGATGGTATAGTGGAAAGTTCTCAAGGATCTATGAGCAGTGGATTAACTCTGCTAAGCAAGTTTGCAAATTGCCATATGCAAGAGTCTCTTGACTGCCCAACACACTGCCAATGACCGTGGCTCCATTTTTCATTGTTGCTGATGTCTGGCTTCTGGTCAACATAAAAATGTTTCTCACTATGCATGGGATTTTTATTATTTTGTGTTTCAACCGTAGGAAATTTTCTGTGAATCTCAGGAAACAGTGATTTTGACCACTTTTTTTTAAAAAAGGGGAATTCTTCATTAATTTAAAGTAAAGAAAATCTTATTTTTGCTCTTCTTATTTGGAAGCTACTTGAAAATCACTGTCCTCTTACGCTCCTCATTCTGTCTCCCACTCTCTTTCTTCATCCTGTTTCTTGAAGAGTCCTACCCTTGAGTGCACATATACATGGAAAATGTCATAGTAAAAAAGTTGGCTTTTTTTCATGTGGATGTCTGAATCTTCTATGATGGAAGGTTTGGGAATACAGTCAGTTTGATTTAATTTTTGCAATTTAATTAAATGGTAGTTTTATGCTCTAAGGAGATACAGACTTAATTAGTGAAACCATGTTTTCAGATCTTTGTGGAACAGACTTCACTTGTGTGTTTTTGTATATAATGCGTGGTGTGTTTCTTGTTTCAGTCCTATTAAAGATATCCACGATGTTTTGGAAGTGACAGTGTTTGATGAAGATGGAGATAAACCCCCTGATTTTCTTGGAAAAGTTGCCATTCCCTTGCTGTCTGTAAGTTGCCTTTGTTAATAAACAATTTGTGAGTCATTTTACAGTTGACAAGTTTCTATAGTCTAGAGTTGCTTTATCTTTGTCAATCTGGGGGAAAAAATACTCCCAGCTATAGCAGGAGACAACTATTTTATTCCTATTCTTATCTAGTATTTTCAGACAAAAAGCAACATGATTTTCTCTGTGTCAGTTGAATATTGATTTAACCAACCAAAAGATTTTGACTCGTCTTGCAATTCACTCTCAATCTTTCCATCTTAAGATGGGAGTTGCTCTTTGGTTTCAAGGAATACACTTCTATAACTGATGTGAAACACATACATGTATCAGTTCTACTAAAGACTGTTTTTGCAAAAGTTCTATTTGTCTTTTTGTAGTCATGTTTGCTTTCAGTCTCAAAAAATGCTTTGTGGAAGAAAACAGAGAGCCTCTTTTGGAGAAAGAAGGCTGTTTCTGGTAGTCCAGTTAAAAGATAACATCCTAGAGTAAGCTAAGAGCTGAATGAAAAAATGCCCTATAAAATTCGGAGGAGAAAGCACCAAATAATACCTTTATATGGGTAAAGGAGGGAAGCTGGGCTCTGAATTCACCTATTAATCGGACATTAACGCTTGTACCAAATGTGTTCTAGAAGAGAGAATTTCAGTCTTTTATCCTACCATCAATACAATTTGTTGTAGAGTCATTATGGCTTTATCAGTCAATAAGGCTTTATTTATTTCTTCCCAAAGACTTATTTTTCCAAAGCTATTAGTGTGTTTTTGTGACTGGAGCAGACTGTAATTTAGCCATGAGATTAGACTAGCTCACATGATGTTTACAGAGGGGGAAACACTGCACCTCTCAGTATCTCTTCAGTGTTTGATCACTTGGTTAATTTCTCCCCAAGTTCTCATATCCCTGATGTTACTCGAAGAGAGTGCAGGAACAGCTGCTCCCTCGTAGAGCCAGTTCCTGCCAAAGGCTCTGAGCCATCAGCAGCAGGCCACGCTGACTCTCCAAGAGGAGATAGTAATTTGGGATTTCCCTCCTTTTTTTTATTACAACTTTGTCAGTTATTCCTGAAAGAATATATATTTCTGACATTTCTCTTCTTGTTTTTATAGATAAATCCTTAGTAGCATATCTTATTCCTTGCTGGGTGAACACTATTTGTGTCTTTTTTAACCTCCCTCTGTTTGGCATATAAAAGTTTTGGATATTTGGTCTTTCTGTAATACACCAAGTTGACCGACCCACTTTCTTCCCTCTGTCCCTGCCTCCCTTGTAATGTACGTTATCTGTGTGCTGTTGAGTTCGATCTAAGAAATTATCTCCAGCTAAATCAGGTTTAGGGCTTGTCAACCTGAGCACTGTTGACATTTTGGGATGGATCATTCTCTGTTGTGGGGCCTGTCTTGTGCATTACAGGATGTTTAGCAGCATCCCACTAGATGCCACTGGCACCCATCCACCCATCACTGTTGTGACAATCCGAGACTTCTGCAGACATTGCCAAATGTTCTGAGGGGCAAAACCACTCCAGTGGAGAACCACTGACCTAAATTAATACAGTTTTCAAACTATATCCTTCAAAATACAAAGTGGAATGATATGTGAAAGACTTCTTTTAAATGCAAGTAGCCCCCAACCCCCTTAACTTTTCTCAGGTCACTGATAAGCTGCCCCACAATCTATGCATTCATTTCTTTGATAAATGTTTATTAAGTGTCCGGGTTGTGCCAGGCCTTGTTTTAGGTGATAATGCTCTGACAGTGACTGCAGTGAAGCTCCAACTTATATTTTGGTTGCAGGAGGTAATAAACAAACAACAAAAAAGAAGCAATAGACAGTATCTCAGGTGGTGAAAGGTGCTGTGTAGAAAGTAAGGGGAAGGGGGCTTTAAGAATATGTGTGTGTGGAAGGGGTACAGTTTCCCATGAGCTGGCCAGGGAGGGCCTCACTGAAAAGGGGCATTTGAGTGAGAACTTAAGGAGATGAGGGAGAAAGCCATGTGGATATCTGGAGAAACTCTTCCAGGCAGGAAATCTTCGAGTTCCAAGGCTCTAAGGCAAGAGCTTGACTGTCAAATTCCAGAAATAGCAGGGCAGACGGTGTGGATGGGACGGAGTGAGCCTGGTGGAGAAGAGCAGATGTGGAACAAGAAAGGACACAGGGGTGGGGTGGCTGGGAGAGGACTGATGAAACTTTTAAAGACTTTGGCTCTTTCTTAGTGGTGATGGGAAACCACAGGGAGGTTTCAAGCCAGGAAGTGCTTGGTTTGGTTTACACTCTTTGTTTCTAATGTAAAAGGGCTGTGGCACATCCAGACATAACCCCAGATCTGAAAGGTTTCTACTGTGTAAAGGCAGCATGGCCTGAGACACATTATTACACCATGCAAATGGTATAGGGACTGTAGGGGCCCAGGAATGTTTTGCTGAATAAGATGCTTCAGCAGCTGTTTTTTGGTGTGGCTGTTTCAATTCAGATCCATCTCCACTTCTTTGACTAATAAAGTGGGAAGGTGATCAGGTCTTACAGGGGATCTGTGTGGCTCTTCCTCTCATTCGGTGGTCCACTTGCAACATGCGTTCTCCAAATGAATTGATTCCCTACCTAGAGTGTAAATATGATAGAAAAAAAAAAAAAAAGCCATAACCCTCAGTATCTATAACAAGCAAATTTTAAGTTGTTCATTATTTCATTAATCATTTTATTTTCCAAATAATTCTAACTTGTGATTTAGAGGGTATGTTTTAAAATTTATTTGTTTAGATCTAGGTTTTTTCCTTATTTAATATCTGTTGAGTAATGCTTAGCTAGCAAGCCCTGTGCTGTGCACTTATCATACGTTAAATCATTAATTCTCTGACAACCTAAAGAGGCATGCTTTCAGTATTATGACCATTTACAAATGAGGAAACTGAGGCACAGAAAAGATGCTGTAGCTGGTAAGTAATAGAGGCTAGATTTGAATTAGGCATACTCATGTGAGAGCCTGAGCTCCTAAGAGGATGTTATACTGCCATAGTGAGTGCCTATTAAGTAAATATCATGCCCAAAGCAATAACCAAGATCTGTTTTGTGCAACCACTGGGCTCAGTGCAAAAGTGTGGGTGGGCAGGTGGGACTCAGAGTCGAAGACGTGCATATCCTGGGTGATGCCTGTGGAATGAACACATAAGACCTGAAATATTGAGGAACAAGAAAATGTGAGGTGGGAGGGATCAATTAACTTTAGGAAGACTTTAGGAAATGGAAAGTCTGAGCTGGCCAGGAAGGAGTAGGGTGTTGATAGTGGCTGGTGGGTGAGGGGAAGAATGAAGACCATTCCAAGCAGAAGGTAAAGCTTGAACACAGAAGCAGAAGTCATGCTCTGGAAACAGAGAGGCCTTGATTCCTAGGGCTCAGGGTGAACGGGGAGGCTGGAGAGGGAGACTGAGTGCAGCTTATGAAGGGCTGAGGGAGGTTGGGGTTGATTCTTTTAACAGGGAGTATGGACGGCCTGGGGATGGAGATCTCAGAGCAGTTGACTAGGAAGAAAGTTTTGACTCCAGTGTGAAGCAAATTAGAGAGGAAGAAGACTCTTCCTGGAGGAATTGGTTGAAACTCCAGAAATAAGCATCAAAGAGAAAACTCTTAGATTTTGTGTTCTGTGCTTCTGAGAGGAAGGATCTATTTCTCTGCTTTTTTAATAGGAGAGAGAATCATAAAAATGGATTCGTTGGTACTTCGCTATTATCTCTATAGGATCTGGAACAGTATTCGATGATACCTTATATTATATTTAAAAACAAAAATTGTATTTCTTGGAGAAGCATGTGAATAATTTTTGTGAGAGTACATTTTCTTTAATCAAGTCATAAACTAAAACTTGATTTACACCTTCCGAGAAAATGCAAACTACATTTTAAAATGTCTAAGTATAAAGTATCGAACGTACTTCAACTTCTAATCTCTCTCAAAATGGTAATGTACTAAGTGCATTTCACTCTGTTAAATAAAGAGCCTGTTCTGAATTCACTATATCTTTTAATCAGGATGAATGTGCTGGCTGACTATTGGCTCGTTTAAAATCCATATTCTAAAACCAGCATATCTATTAATGGTGGTGAATTGTTCAAAGCATATACGTTCAAAGATATACATCAGAATTGAAGGAATCCAGGCCAACGAGTCATCCTTCTGTATATCTCATTTCTGGTCAACGTTTAAAAAAATAGTTATTTCAAAAAATGATTATATAGCTATACAAAGCTTTTTACTCATGAGTAAAAACAATAGAAAATTGTGATTCGAATGCATTATAATCTGAAGACTTCTAATATTTGCTCATTTCCACATTACTCCAAAAATCTTCTAATCAATAACATAGTAAATATGCATTGGAAAGCAATAAGCATATTTTAGAGTTTTAAAACATTCCAGCATAGACACTATCACCTAATAATTATCTGATTCAATAGATTTATTTAACATTTCTCTCCTCAATTAAGTGATCCTAATTTTCTCCTGAAAATCAGTCTGGTTTCTTCTCATCTGGGTCATTCCTTTTATTCAGACATATGTTCACACTCTCAGAATTATCTAATGGACCAATTTCGGAAGACTTTGAAAATCAGCTTTCTGTAAAATAGGAAAAGCATATATTTATTGTTATATCCAAGAAGAAATCGTTTACAGTTTGATGAGGTCCTACATTTTGAGACAAATTGGAGTCCTCTTGCGCGAGCCATGCCAACACGTGCAAGTGGGTCTGTAAGCAGAGGCACAGGCCTTTACGTAGCCTCAGCATTCTCTGTGAATCCATGTGCACAATAACTAGCTGCACCAATAACAGCTTCACTTAATTAGTTTTATGGGACAAATTTTCTATAATTGCTTGTACCAAATAAATGTCCAGGCAAATCTTCATTTGCATTTCCAATTAAGTATTTGCCCAAGTTTCACTTATGATGAGCTTTGCACGTTGTAATGGGCACACGTACACAATCATATTTTTTTAGGTTAATGCTGAA